CTGCTCTCACAGCTCAAGTCCACTTCACCCTCCCTTTGCCAGAGCACAAGGTGGATGGCTCCACGGGGAATTTTGTATGCTGGCCCTTTAAGAAGGCACCTGAATTTTTAGCTGCCACTCCCTGGCAGACGGCACCTCACTGCTTTTCACAGCCAGATGTGGGTACCCTTCTCAGTTCTGTTGATCTCTGCTGGGGTGCCCATTTTAGGGATTACATGTCAGAGTTCTTAGTGGCATCCCCCCACAGCTAAGCTATCTCTACAGGACTTCAGTTGCCATCTGTGGGTGCACAGCCAGTCTTTTCATGCCTCTGCCTCTCCTACCAGTCTCTATGAGGTCTCCACCTTTGGTCCTCATATCAGGGCTCTCTCTTACGAGTTTTACATTGACTATTCAGGAAGTTTTTCTGTATTTTAGCTGTAATTCAGGCTTGTTCCTGGGAGCACCCATTTACTCTGCTGCCATTTTTAATCCTACTTTCTATATTTATTCTTTTAATCCTCACTAGAGGATATGTTTATTGATTTTAGAGAGGGAGAGAAACACATCCATGTGAGAAACATTGATCATTTGCCCTCTTATATGCACCCCAACTAGGGGTACAACCCACAACCAGCTATGTGCCCAGACTGGGAATTGAACCCACAACCTTTTGATTCACAGTATAACGCTCCAGTCCACTGAGCTACCCGTCTAGGACACTTTCTACATTCATTAAACGGCTTTGGGGTTCCGTGGATAGTTCTATATAAGGAGGATGGACATTACAGTTGCGTTCCTGTTTGTACAAGGTCCTCAGAGAAGCAGAGGCGAGGTTATGGGAGATGCAGTGCATTCGCTGCTGCAGCTCTTCTCTGAGGTCACAGGCCTCTGAGCCGTGAGAGCCCTCTCCTCAGCTTTGACCTTCTCACTTCTCTATAGCTCTGACAAGTCCCTGCTGCTGGACTGTGGGGAAGGTACGTTTGGGCAGCTGTGTCGTCACTATGGCAACAACGTGGACAGGGTCCTGGGCAACCTTGCTGCTGTGTTCGTGTCCCACCTGCACGCGGATCACCACACGGTGAGTGCTGGGCAGGGCCCGGAACCCCACCTGAGGCAGCTGTGGCCTTGCTCTCCTCCGTCGCAAACTTGCCCACGGTTCTTCACCTCTTGGGAGATAATGGTCATTCACAGAACCCAGCTCAGTGATTCTGCCCATAAGGATGCTGGTCTTTCTGTTTGCTTGCTGTCATGTCGCAGCAGGGGTCTGCCTTCCCACATGCCCTAGGATGAAACTGCAGCCAGAGGGGCGGGGCTTGGTCTCCTGGGACCCCAGTCATCGCTCTGTCTTGGATCAGCATGTGCCGGCTCCCACCAACAGCAGTGTTAGAGGCTGGTGGCCAATAGAGGGCGAGGGGCTCCTGCAAGATGAGGGCGAGGACCCCACCCCGGGCTGAGGTTTCTGGCGCCTCGTCTCATCTGTGTCTCCTTTCTCCTTCCAGGGCCTGTTAAACATCCTGCTGCAGAGAGAACGCGCTTTGGTGAGTGCGGGCTTGACCTCATTGCCTTTTGGATTTGCCTGGGTTACACCTAGACCCCCTTTGATGCCTGCCATTGGTTCGACTCCCTTGTTCCAGGCATCGCTGGGAAAGCCCTTCCACCCCTTGCTGGTGGTTGCCCCAACACAGCTCCGGGCCTGGCTGCAGCAGTACCACAACCAGTGCCAGCCGCTCCTGCACCACATCAGGTGAGTTCCCCGCAGCCCGCCCCGAGGCTGTCGCCTCCCCTCCACAGCTCAGGGTTGACCTGGGGCAGGTCAGGATACCCTCTGACATGGCCCAGTGGCTGAAGCAGGGAGAAAGCTTTGACTCGGGCAAAACCTTGAGCTGGCTTCACTTAGATGTCTGTCTGCTTGGTTTCCTCGCAGCCTAATTTAAGCTCCGTTCTAGACTTTTGCCAACACTTCTTGATAAAACAGTTGCAGGGCCACGTGCCCGAGTTGGGAGCACAGAGACTGCCCCGCCAGGGGATGCCTGGTGGGATTGGCCCGAGGCCCACCTCGTGGGAAGGAGTCCGTCTGCCTGGCCCAGGCTTGGCCCCTTGGGCAGGGCCTACAATGCCTTTGCTGTGGGCAGCTCATCGGGAAGGTTTCTCAGTGGCCTGGGGGTTTGGTTTGGTTCTACTTACCTTTCCCAGGCTAATTGACTGTAGTTTAAATTGTGTTTCTTTATAATGATTTGGGGGCTTCCCAAATTCTTAAACTTCGATTCAAGTTACATTTGTTTTAATGTTTTCTTTCTCACAGTGTGATCCCTGCCAAATGCCTTCAGAAAGGAGCCGAGGTTTCCAGCCCCACACTTGAGAGCTGGATTGGCTCACTGCTGAGAGCCTGTGATCTGGAGGAGGTATGGGGCGGCTGCAGGGGGTGGGGGGCAGTGGGGGCGTCTGGTGGTGAGGGAGGGGGTGCCTCTGCAGCCATGCCCTGCCCTCCAGTTTCAGACCTGCCAGGTCCGGCACTGCAAGCATGCTTATGGCTGTGCATTGGTCCACACGTCCGGCTGGAAGCTGGTCTTCTCGGGGGACACCATGCCCTGCGAGGCTCTGGTCCAGATGGGTGAGTAGAGGCGGCTGACAGCCTGGTGGTCATCCTGGCATGCACACAGGGCGCAGGGTCAGGGAATGGAGAGGGCAGGAATCCGGGGCCGAGTGCTTGTCCAGCCCAGGACCCTGCCCCACGCCCATGCTTCCTCCAGGGAAAGATGCCACCCTCCTGATTCACGAGGCCACGCTGGAAGACGGTCTGGAAGTGGAGGCCGTGGAAAAGACACACAGGTAGCTGCGAATGCTCGGCCTGCCACCCACTTCCTCCCTTCGCCTCCCTGTGGCTCCGCAGCCTCACCTGCCTGCGTCCCACCAGGGGCTGTGGGCTGCGACCGGACGGTGGTTGGCTTCGGGGTCTTCGGCTTTATCTCTGCAGAGCTCTAGGCAAGGCTCTGAGGCAGCCCAGCTTTAGAAAGAGCTGAAACAGGCTGGAACCAGTTGTGAGCCATGACAGGGAATATGGCTGATTGGGAGGGCAAGTGCAGGCCCAAGGGGGCGCTTCAGCCGGATGCAACCCTCCAACCCTCCGTTTGCAGCACCACCTCCCAGGCGATCAGCGTGGGGATGCGCATGAACGCCGGGTTCATCATGCTGAACCACTTCAGCCAGCGCTACGCCAAGATCCCCCTCTTCAGTCCTGACTTCAACGAGAAAGTGGGCATTGCCTTTGACCACATGAAGGTGTGCGTGTGGATGGGGCTGGGCAGAGGGAGCACCACATAGACGCGATGAGAGGGACAGTCGGGGCAGCCAGAGCAGGACCAGCCCTCAGGCCCAGCACCGTGTTTGAAGGCTGCCAGACCTTCCACAGGCCCGTTTAGACTGACATCAGCCCTGGTGGCTGGAAATGACGGAGCCTCAGAGGCTCATCCGTTCCCACTGTCAACACAGCTCTTGCAGCCCAGAGATGGCCTCTCCTCTTGGGACTGGGAAGCCAGGCAGGCCCAGGCAGGGGCCGGCCGGGCTTGTTTCTGAGGAGCCTGATTTTCAATCTGGCAGCCTCCGAGGCCCCTTCACCTGGCCGCCCTCAGCTGCCGTGGGGCATCTCTGCCCTTTCTTCAGTCTCCTGCCGCCGCCTCCACATTTTCTTTCCTTTTCCAGCTGTGGTCTGTGGCCCCAGGGCTGGTGAGGGGACGTGTGCCTGCTGGATGGGCACGCGCCTTCCTCACCGAGGCTTGTCTTCTCCGTCCTGCCCCCCAGGTTAGGTTCGGAGACCTCTCCACGGTGCCCAGGCTGATGGCCCCGCTGAAAGCTCTGTTTGCCGACGACCTGGAGGAGATGGAGGAGCGCAGGGAGAAGAGGGAGCTGCGGCTGGTGCAGGCAGCCCTGCTCTCCCAGGCACAGGCGCAGGCGCAGGCGCAGGCCCAGGCAGGTGGAGCTGAGGACGGTGAGCCCCCGCGGAAACGGGCTCATGTAGAGGAGCCTGCCAGCCCCCCAAGGAAGGTCAGGGCAGAATGAAGGTCAGGAGCGCCCTGAACTCGGAAGGCTCACGCCCACCCCATGCAGGGTCCTGAGTGCGCTCTCTGCCTGGGGAGTGAGGGCACTGGAACCGGCGGCACACGGGGAAGGTGGAGGGAGCTGGGCTTCGGCTCAGGCTCCGGGTGAGGACTGCGTGCTGGACGTCTCATGAATGCGCCTGGCGGAGCTGTGGCCAGGAGGCTGCCGAGGGAAGAAAAGCAGGCGCCAGCGACTTAAGTCACATAGAAGAACACACATCAGGCTGATACCGCCAAGCCGTGCCCTCCGCACACTAGAGACGGGCCGTGTCAGGGAACACGGGTCTTGGAAGTGACATCTAAGTGCTCAAGGCTCAAGGAGTGGTGTTTCCAGAGCCCAGAGCTCAATAAAGATTCCCTGCGGAACCGAGTGCTTTGCCTGGTCCCACAGGAGCCTCCCAGGTTGGTGCCGCCTGCGCAGGCCCCAGTGTGTCCCGGAGGCCAGCCCCGCGGCCGGAGGACCACTCCTGACCCAGGGAGGTGCGCAGTGGCCGGGCTTCTGCCCAGTCAGCTGTGCGGCTGCCACGGGCCTGGCTCCAGGCACCAGCCAGATGGCTGGGCCCACGTGGCACCTCTGAACAGTCTCCTGCGGTGCTGGGAGCAGCCAGTCGTAGCTGGCTCTCCTTGGCGCAGTGAGAACAAAACCCTCGTTGCCCTTCAGAGTATTAAGCAGCAGCACGTCGGGCTGGTTCCCCTGCCCCCTTGCGAGGTTGAACAACACAGGTTAGTGCTTAAAGGCTGAGAGACTTAAAGCCATGTCTAGTATTTTATATTCCCCTACCGAGGAGATACAGAAAATTCCTGTGTTGAGAGGGAGGCAGACGGAGGCCTTGGCCTGGTCTAACCATGACCTCCCCCAGCAGCACCTGTCACTAAGTCCCGTGTCCCCACACACTTCACAACTTAAACAACGAAAGGCCGTGCTCAGGGATAATAAATCTATTTTAATAAGTTTACTTTTGACAACTATTTGTACATGTATTTAAAGGTGCTTTCAGCCCCCGGGCTCCATTGCAAATTGGGTACCGAACCGCCCTCGCCAGGAAGTGAGCAAAGCTGGTAGCATCCCAAGTCTGCCAACCCCATGGCCAGAGGAGGGCTATTTTACACTGTGCTGGGAAAACTAGACGCACTTAAACTCCGCATTGTACACCTGTACACTGGCTTAGATTGAATGGCTCAAATTAAACAAATATAGAGAACTTTCATATATACAAATATATCATGTATAGGTATGTCATATCTGCCTTAAAAGGGTAAAATTGTAAAGTGTGGCTGTGCATGCAGGACCCAGATGTCTCAGTCCCAGAGTGTGGGCTCCCAGTGCTCTCGCGTGTCCCCGAGAGGGAGTGGGGTCTTATGAGAAGGGGAGAGAGCCTGAGGCTGGGGCCGGTCTCACTCTCTGCTCCGTGCTCTGGGTAACAGTTATTGCTATTCACAAGTGCCCTCCCGGAGAGGCTCCTGGTTCCGCCCAGTACCTGTGAGCCGGTGCCCCTGAGAGCCGGAGGTGTAGAATTACTGTCAGACCACTTGATGTTTGGGGGGGACGTGGGGAGATGTCTCTAGGCCCTTGAGACATCCTCAAGGTCATTTTTAAAATTTGGAAGTATTAAGTGGTAAGGTGGAAACAGGAGCTTCCGGTAACACGGTGTGGAAAATAAAACTTGGGAAGTAAAACAAATGTGTTCAGCGTTTACTTAGAACCAACCCACAGAGTAGGGCAGCCTCCCTGTGCAGCGCAAGTCAGCGCCCAGGACTCGTCCCTGTACGTAAAGGACTTGCTCTCTGTCCCTTTCTGTGGCCGTCCAGCTGACACTGGAGGCCTCGATGTCGCTGTCAGTACAGGGCAGCCCAGGTCTCACCCAGCACCTGGCCCTCCACACCCCCCTGCAGAGGACCTACAGGAGCCCTTAGTGGAGAGGGCTGCTGCTTGGCATGGAGGCTGAAAGTAGGTCAAATAGGCACAAAGTCAAAGGCAAAGGTCAAACAAAAGGCCCACGTCACCACCCGAGGGGAACGAACAAAACCTGCACCACCGATGTTTGCCACTCAGGCCGGGGGGTGACCGCTCTGCAGGACTCCGGCCGTGCGTGGCAGTGACAGCCAGAGCCACGGAGAACTTGGGCCCAGGGCGCCTGGCCATGTGCTGGTCTGGGCCCACGTATGTACACGCGTGTCAAAGGGCGGTGCTCTCTGAGTCCTCCTCCGAGTCCCTCTTCTCAGCCACCGGGGGCCGCAGCTTGTGCTCCAGGGGGCTCAGGCGGAGCGCCGGCCCGAGCTCCACGTGGATGGAGGGGACTTCGAAGTGAGCGAGATCTGGAAGTGGGCAGAGAGAGAGGTGAGGGGGGAGGGGCTGCGGCTAAGGAGACCCGGCACCAAGAGCAGGCAGCTAGTCAGCGTTAGGAAGCGAGCGTGGGCCCCTGAGGGGCCAGCGTCCTTGCAGCATCGCATTAGGGTTGGGCAGCTTCCCTTCTACCAAGCAAGCCTGTGGGCCAGCGCAGACCTGCCAGGGAGCGGGGTGGGGGAGGAGGGCCCTCAGCACTGCTAGCACACTCCCGCACACTCACTGCCTCTGGGCTGCGGGTCCCCCTGGCAGCTCTTGGAATTTGGGATTGCATTGAGTTCCCTAAAGCCTCTAGGGACAGGGTGTGAGGCAGAGGAAACACCATTTTCCCAGCAAGGGGTCATCCTCAGACAGTGTAATCCTAAGGCTGTGAACAGTAAGTATACCTCGATGTCTGAAGGACCTGGCAGAAGAACCCCAGGAGCTGGGTGCAAGTTACAGCAAACTGTCTGCTCCCCATCTCTCAGCCCTTGGAGCAGCTCACCTCTTGGCTCTGTCCCCAGGAGAGGATCAGAAAGAGGGTCCTGAGGTGAAGGCTCAGCGCCTGTGGGTCTGGGTCCCTGCGAGCTGCAGAGTTGAGAAGGTCCAGCAGCTCTGCACAGGCGAGGCCCCAGGTGGGTCTGGGCTGTGCTGCCCTGGAGACCCCACCTGCCCACCCGGCCTGCAGGGCTCACCGGGGGTCCACCAGGCCTGCAGGGCTCCCCGGGAACCCCATCTGCCCACCCAGCCTGCAGGGCTCACCGGGAACCCCATCTGCCAACCCGGCCTGCAGGGCTCACCGGGAGCCTGGCCTGCCCACCCGGCCTGCAGGGCTCACCGGGGACCCCTCCTGCCCACCTGGCCTGCAGGGCTCACCGGGGACCCCATCTGCCTACCCGGCCTGCAGGGCTCACCGGGAACCCCTCCTGCCCACCCGGCCTGCAGGGCTCACTGGGAACCCCATCTGCCCCACACGGCCTGCAGGGCTCACTGGGAACCCCATCTGCCCACCCAGCCTGCAGGGCTCACTGGGAGCCCTGGCCTGCCCACCAGGCCTGCAGGGCTCACCGGGGACCCCATCTGCCCACCCGGCCTGCAGGGCTCACCGGGAGCCCTGCCTGCCCACCCGGCCTGCAGGGCTCTCCGGGAACCCCATCTGCCCACCCGGCCTGCAGGGCTCACCGGGGACCCCATCTGCCCACCCGGCCTGCAGGGCTCACCGGGAGCCCGGCCTGCCCACCCGGCCTGCAGGGCTCTCCGGGAACCCCATATGCTCACCCAGCCTGCAGGGCTCACTGGGAGCCCTGGCCTGCCCACCCGGCCTGCAGGGCTCACCGGGGATCCCATCTGCCCACCCGGCCTGCAGGGCTCACCGGGAGCCCGGCCTGCCCACCCGGCCTGCAGGGCTCACCGGGAGCCCGGCCTGCCCACCCGGCCTGCAGGGCTCTCCGGGAACCCCATATGCTCACCCGGCCTGCAGGGCTCACTGCGGACCAGGCCTGCTCACCCTCACCCTCAGCCATGCCACCCGCCCACCTGCACAGCAATCTCACCTCGCCTTCTGCCCAGGCCTGGACTGCGGGAAACAACCTGGGAAGGAGCAGCTTTTGGCCAGGCCTGGGGGGTGGGGTTTTGTTGGTTTCTTACTTTGCTTTTTTTGGTAAAACAAATATTCAGCCTCAAGAATGTAGACAGACAGACATCTGAACACGGTCCTAAGAGACACTGTACAAACATGGAAGCTCTGGAACCCAGGTCATCTCCCGCCTCCCAAACTCCTGTCAGGGAGCCACTGCAGCCTGTGCTTGCTGAGCTCAGCCCTGCCTGCCTTCCCTCTGGGCTACCCCTGGGTGCTTCGTGGAAGGCTGCTGCTGGCCTGGGGCCCACCCATCCATACCACCAGGCAGCACGTGACCCTGCACAGGTTTCTGCTCTCCCCTGTGCCAGGCAGTCAAATGGGAACAGCCCAGGGTGGTGGGGGTCATGTGACAGTCCGGACAGTAGGCAAAGAGCACCAGGCTAGGAGACCCGGCTGTTCCCTGGAGACCCTGAGGGGGGTCACTGATGGTGCTGGGGATTGGGGGAGCTGTTTCCTGTTAGGAGGCCTGTGGGCCCTGCTGGCCCTGCTCTTAGCAGCTCTCGTGGGGCACCCCTGGAGGGCCCTCAGACTAGCTCTGGCCATCACTCTGACTGAGGCAGAAGCACCTCATTCCTTCTGGCTTCGTTCATGTCCTTGCCTTGGTTTCACTGTAGAGCGCCTGCTCTTTAGAGGAGGAGACCAGGCAGAAGCTGGGTGAATGTTTCCCAGTGTTTTACCGAGCTGGGGGGATGGGCTCAGGACACACTCTAATACTATGGCTTCTCCAGGATCCGCCAGCCCCAGCCTGGGCCTGGAGGAGGCGCGTGGACTTCAGGGCACCCTCCCCCGAGACAGGCCCAGGCTGCGGGGGCATTGCCCGTGGCCTGGGTGGCCCTTCGTGGACAGGTCCCTGAACCAAGGTGTGGTGAGGAACTGCCTGGGACGCTGGGCAGAGAAGTCAGCAGGTCCGTCCTGGGAAGGGTGGCCTGATCCCTGTCAGCTCAGCCTCAGAGAGGGGAGGGGTGCTAGTGACAGAAGGTGAGCAGATGAGCTCGGCCTCTGCCTGGCTTTGTCCCCAGCCCCTGAGGACAGGAAAGAGACCCCGACACGGCCAGGGACCCCGGAAAGCTCCTGCTGCGCTGGGGGAGGCACCGAAGGATCGGCCATGCAGGCGCCCAGCCACATGCAGTGCGGTGCGTAGGGCTGTGGCCGCCGGCTCGGGCAGGGGGCGCGAGGCTGGGGCCGCTTACCCTGAGCTCCCCTCACACGTATCCAACACTGCGGCACTCATGTCACACAGCTGCAAGGACAACGACAGGATCGGAGAGAGGAGTGAACAGGACGGAACAAGAACGCAACACAACACTGCGCCCCGTGTCGGCCAGGTGGCTGCACCCCGTGGTCCAGCTCTTCCCTCGGCCCCGGCCCGTACGGGCGGACAGCACAACGCAGCCGGAGAACACGGAACGGACAGGCACGGTGGGGCGTCGCTCCGTCTAGAGGCAGCAGCCCTGAAGCTGGTGCTGTGGGAGGGATCCTCACACGTCCCACGTGGGGACTGCCTGTCCTGTCCCTCAGGGCCTCCTGCGGCCCACTTTCCCCCAGATCTCTCATTCTGTCTCTCAGGAGGTGAGCAGACGAGCTTCCAGCATCACCACTCCCCGGGCCCTTCCTGGGGCGGCCTCGGAAGTTAGCAGGCTGATGTGTTGGGAGCAGGAGCCCCCATGGACAACTCGGGGTGACCGGGAGCTTCAGGGGCGTGTCCCTGAGCCCCCAGGGCAGTGAGCCTGTGCTCCCTCCCATCGGGGCTCACTGAGGACACATCTCGCACCAGGAACCACAGGTGGAGAGCTGTGCTCACTCATCTTTCCAGGAAGAATTTCTTCCATTTTTTTACAAGCCTCCGGGTAGAGGACAGCAGCTGTCCCGTCAACATCGTTCCTTGCCCAAACGGAGCCAGATCGCCAGACGGCTACTCGCACAACATCTGCATCTCCAAACCCCTCACAAATACCCACCCTGGACTAGACTTCCACGGGCAGCACAAGCGGAGGCCGAGGCCCACCCGCCACCTGGCCAAGGGAAGGCCTGTCTCTGCAGGAAGCCAGGCCCAGCGCCGCGCTGCTGAGCGTGCGTGGTGTGTGCGTGCATGTAGTGTGTGCCTCTGTGTGTGCTGTGGGGTCATGATGTGCACGTGTGTAGGGTGTTGAGCTCTGTGTGTGCTGTGAGTGTATGGGGTGGGTGTACCGGGACCACACAGGCAGGTGAACCCGGGCTCTGGGCCTGGTGATGTGGGTGGCTGGCTCTACTCAGCCAGCCACACAAGCATGCCGAGTTCTGACCTCGTGTGCTCGATCCTGAGAGATGTTTCAACATGTCTTCTTCTTCCAGACAACAAGTGGCGTGTGCTGAACGTGTGTGCTTATGACTTCATGCCACACGTTTTTCTGGGGGAGGAAATAGTTCCATCTCTGATTTTAAATTCAAAGCAAAACTAGCCGAAACTGGTTTGGCTCAGGGATAGAGTATCATCAGCCTGCAGACGGAAAGGTCCCGGGCTCGATTCCAGTCAAGGCATGTACCCTGGTTGCGGACACATCCCCAGTAGGGGTGTGCAAGAGGCAGCTGATCGATGATTCTCTCTCATCGATGTTTCTAACTCTCTATCCTTCTCTCTTCCTCTGTAAAAAAAAAAAATCAATTAAAAAAATATATATATACGTACATATATAAAGCAAAACTACATTTAGCCATTGTGGGCTTGTCCAATTAGCTCCTTTGAGGACCAGGGTCCGGCCTGTCGTGAACCCGGCCCCTGTATGAATGCGTGGTGCTAGAAAGACATGCTTCTCATTAGGCTTGTTTAATTAATAAAAAGGAAATGTCTTTGGTTCGTAGTGTTTCTGAAGGCTCGGGGAGCGCCTCCCGCACCACTGCGCTCAGCTGCCAGCGGGTTTGCCTTCCCCCCCCACTCCAGCTCTCCCAAGAGCTGGGGTGCTCAGTCCCCCAATTAGGGCAGACCCTGGGCTGGGAGACCCCTTAGACGCCCTCTGCAGGATGGCGGGGTCCCTCCCGAGCTGCTCTCACCGGCTGTGGGGGCATCTCAGGGGATCCCCTGGTGAGCGACGTTGGCACCAGCACAGCCGGCCCCTGGCAGACGGGTTGTTAACGGGCAGTGGCACCAGCACCCTCCCTCGGCCTGCTGTGCTCAAGTTCATGGGAAACCGAGGAAGCTGGGCGCGGTTACCTGTGGACATGCTCTCCCCGGGGGCCATGCCGTCGAGCACGGGGTGCTCCGTGGACTGCGGGCTGGAGGCAGAGAGGCTGGCGGTGGGCGGCTGCGGGGGCGGCAACGTGGGTCTCTGCCGAGGCTTCGGGGTGGGCCGCGATTTGGTTAAAGTGCTGGCGAAGCTGGAGGGAGAGGCCAGGGGCGGCACCGCCGCCGGGGAGAGCGGGCCCGAGGCCAGGGGGTACCCTTGCGAGTAACTGAGTCCGTAGGGTGACGGGGTGCTCGGTGGCGTAGGCGACAGGCTAAGCGGGGACGGCTGGCCGGCGGGCAGCTCCGACATGGCGCCTGGCTGGCCAAAGGGGACCTTGGGCGGAATCGGTGCCAGCTTCTTGGACACTGGGAGAGAAAACACAACAGCAACACACAAGGTTGTTCCATGATGCCCGGGGTCCATGCGGCCGTTGGCGCACCCCTCACCCCCTGCGACCCCCTCGCCACCCCAGACCTTGGCATCCTGAGAGCAGGCAACAATTTTAAAAAATTTACCTAGACTTGCAAGTTTTCATGTCCTCCCTAATTTCTGTTCACTGATTTCTCCTCTTCTCTGGATTCCTACCATCCATCTCTCTCTCTCTCTCTCTCTCTCTCTCTCTCTCTCTCTCTCTCTCACACACACACACACACACACACACACACACACACACACACACAGGCTGCAGATATATTTCTCCTCCACAGGCCGTGGCTGGCTTCCCTGATTCAGTCACCACTAGGGGTGGCAAAGGGGGGCAGTGGCCTGAGGAAGAGGGAGCCAGTGACACAGCCACAGACGACAATCAGTTCAGCTTGTGGCCGTGGGCCCAGGACGGGCAACTGTCAGCATCGGAAGCGGACTTTTGGCCTTAGTGTCCGAGAGCCTGAAGGTGGGCCACCGGGGCCCAGTGCTCTGCGGGACGTACCTTTCCGGAGGGTGTGGGGGCTCTGGTCGGCGGGCAGCTGGCCGGGGCTGGTGCCTGCTGGCGTCCCGGCACCCGGTGGCCCCTGGCTGGAACCCGGACTTGCCTTCTGCCCAGACCCCGGAGAAAGCTCCTTGCCTCTGGAAGCGCTGAAACACAGGCACACAGGACAAGACTCCTGAGCGGGCGCCTCAGCACCTCACCGTGGGTGCAGAGCATGCCTCTCTCGCCACTGCGGCCTGCCCAGCTCCGGGCGTCCCAGGCCCTTCCTCAGCCTCCCAGACGACCCCTGGTGCCTGGTCCTTGGTGGGGGTTGGGGGGAACTTCTGACGGCCGGGCCTACTTTCTCCTCTGCATGGCCCTAATGCCAGCTCCCTCGCCACCAGAGACCAGGAGCGACGGGCAGCAGGCCCCAAGCACCCTCTCTCTGTCCTGTGAGCCACACTGGGACTGGACATTTGGGAACGGGGACACCAAAGTGTCCTTGTCCCCTGAATCCACAGCACAGCAGAGCCTGTGTGCCCAGTGAGGGCTGATGGCCACATGGCCATGGCCCCCCACTCTCCAGCTGCTTCCCCTGATCCCCCGTAACACCCCCAAGCAGGGAAGGACTTCGGGGATCCATCCTCAAACTCAGGAGGTCCCAGCAATGGTAGGGCTGGAACAGACCCTGGCTGTGCTTCCGAATGTGGGCAGCTTAGTCCAGTCCCCCAGGTGTGGAGGAGACCAGGACACATGGCACCGAGGACCTCTGGAGCCCCTTCAATTGATAACGGGGCACCCTGAGCCACCAGGCCCCCAGGAGGACCCACCCTTCACGGCTGGCTTTTTCTCAGGCTACAGCAGCCACAACCTGAAACCCTCACCTCACTCTTTAAAAAATAAAATTTAATGTATTTTGATTTTGAAAGGGTGATGGAGAGAGAGACAGAACATCAGGGATGAGAGAGAGTCACTGATCAGCTGCCTCCTGCACACCCCACACTGGGGATTGAGCCCCAAACCCGGGCACGTGCCCTGACCGGGAATAGAACCGTGACCTCCTGGTGCCTAGGTTGACGCTCAGCCACTGAGCCATGCCGGCCAGGCTCGCCTCTTTCTTTATTCTTCAGGCCTGAGGTGACCAGGCAAAGATCACCTTCATGCCAATGATCTCTCCGCCCCTCCGTCCATCTCTGCCTCCATCAAGAGGAAGGTAAAGTGAAACAATAAACAACAAAAGAACACACACAACAAGCAAACATAGTAATTGCTTCTTGTTGGGCAACAGACTCTTCTTTTCTTTCTAGATGGACAAGAGAAGGGTAAACAGCCATGCAGCCTCCTGCAGAGGTCCCCGGGCCAGTGTGACCCCATGACCTCCTGCAGAGGTCCCCGGGCCAGTGTGACCCCATGATCTCCTGCAGAGGTCCCCGGGGCCAGTGTGACCCCATGACCTCCTGCAGAGGTCCCCGGGCCAGTGTGACCCCATGACCTCCTGCAGAGGTCCCCGGGCCAGTGTGACCCCATGACCTCCTGCAGAGGTCCCCGGGCCAGTGTGACCCCATGACCTCCTGCAGAGGTCCCCGGGCCAGTGTGACCCCATGACCTCCTGCAGAGGTCCCCGGGCCAGTGTGACCCCATGACCTCCATTCTTCTCTGACTGGCACCCACGTTAGCAGTAAGAATGGCCCCTGCAAATGTCCAGGTGGAGGAGAGGAAAGGGGAAATGGAGGGTTGGACACTGAGCTTCCTCTCACCCCTTCGCAAGCTGCCACCCGACACGTTCGCTGCTGGCTTGGGAGCCTGGCCTTCATCTGATAACCCAGGGAGCCAGAAGTGGTGCTCCAGATGCCAGCAGGAATGCTCAGAAACAGGGAGGGGAGGGGGGAAGGGGAGAGTGAGGACATCCATGAGGCCAGAGGTGGGTGCAGTGAACCTGCCCGTGCTTACCTGGTCCGCTCGGCCCCAGGCTGGAGGCCCAGGCCAGATGGAGAAAGCGAGGGCACCGCGGGGTCCTCTGGGGGCTGCTCCAGAAGGGGCGAGGGCAGAGGCGCTGCCAGCTCCTCGGGCGGGGCGGGGGGCTGCGTGGAGGGTGGGGCGCACGACCCTTTCCGGCCTGCCGACGACGAGCCTCTTCGCGCCACCCAGGACGTGTCCATCACCCTCACGCCCATGCTGGGGAGGGACACAAACACACGTGCTTATCCATGCACTGCAGGCCGAGCCCCGCCCCCACGAAGCGGACACATTCAAGCAGGTGGGTGTTAGAACAGCAGCGCAGCCTTAGCACCTCCTGGGCCCGGGGGAGCGAGGAGGAGGAGGACGGACAGGGCTCCCCTGATGGGACAGCCAGGCCACACCTGGAGCCCCCCGCCCGGAAGGCTGGCCAGCCTCGCCCCAGCTGGCAGCTGCGCTTCACCCTCTGCCAAAGCAGCTGCTAGTCAGTGCGAATGCGGCCTCGCTGGGGGCATTCGCTCCTCCCGGGTGGGAGACGCAGGTGAGCAGGGCAGGGACAGGGGCAGCGTGAGACCAGAACAAGGCACCGGCCTCGGGAGACATCTACACAGCCATCCTTTCTGTCGCTTGCCGTCTAGAGCACAGAGCAGAGTCAGCGGGACCTGGGGCTGGCCTGGCCCCGGCCAAGCTGTACGTCTGCAGGCCACGCCAGCCTGCCTACCCTGCAGGACGGGCGGGCTGACGGTGCCCGGGGCCGCCCTGGGCTCCGGTTCCACTTCAATGATGGGAACAGTCGCCTCAAGTCAGTCGGCCAAGCAACCACACACACACCCCCTCGCAGAGCTCGCTGAGGCAGCGCTCGGCGTTCGGACTGAACGTGGCCTGCAGCTGCCCCGGGATACTGTACCTTTGGATTTTCCTAAGGCTGCAGGGACAGAAACACACAGATATTAGTGTCAAAGTCTGTCCTTCCTTGGGACACGCGGGGCGTCTCGTCAGGGTCAGGGTCAGGGTCAGGGCCTCAGCCTTCACCGTGTCAGGAACCTGTTTCTGCTTCCTTGGTCTCCTAGCTAGAGTGACTCTTCTACCAGATGGGTGACAAGCTCGGTGCTGCCCGGCTCACAGGTGAGCAGAGAGAGGAGGGAGTGACGCTGGCACGCAGGGCAGGAGGGCAGGAAACGGCTCCCAGGGGGAGAGGGAGTAGCTGGAAGGGTAGGCACCTCTACTGTGTCCAAGTTCACGATCAGAAGGCGGTTCACGCCCTTCCCTCTGGTCTAGGAGCAGCTGGAACTACAGGGCATGGTCGAGGCCTGCAGGACCAAGGCTGGGCTGAAGTTTCCAGCATTAAGGGCAGACAGGCTCTCCCTCGGGGAGGAAGGATGTGCTCCCAGCCCCGTGTCTCTGCAGGAGCCGGGGCAGTGGGCGTGAGGGCTGTGCGTGCTTCCTCTCACCTCTCCTCCCACTGGGATGGGAGAGCTGCCTGACACCCCTTCTCCAGGCACTCCTCCATGTTAATAAATTTCATCAACCTTTGATGAGGCACCTTGGGGTTATGTGTTGGGGAGAGGGGGAGTTAGTCTCTTTCCAGGACTCACTAGCTTTCAAGCAATCTTGGTCAACGAACCTGCCACCAATACATAAGCACCTTCCACAGGGGATCCTGAATCACTCCTGGAGGCTCTCCCAAAAGCCCGGGTCAGGGCCTAGGTGCCTCCCTGATATTTAGAGTGAGTGCAAGGGAGCATCAGATTATGCTCTGTGGCTTCAGAATTTCCCAGGATGCAGATCGAGAAGCTTAACTCTCGCTTGGGGGAGGGAACTGACACCCCTCAGCTGCATGGGCGGAGATGGCAGGCATGCAAGCTGTCTCCCGCGTAAAGGATGTTAGATCTCACCCTCCTTCTCTTCCTTAGGATTCTCTTTCCCTTGGAAAGACCTTTTCCATGGGGGGGGGGGGGGTGTGAGGAGAGGGGATGAGGGAGGGAAGGGGAGGCTGAAGGGGGCTGGTGGGCACGCCTTCTACTCCCAATGGCACCTTCCAACCTCAGCAGCCTCGGATGCCAGGCTGCCAGGTGATCTCCTGTTTACAGGGAGGAGCCAGCTAGGGCACAGGGGAGACCTGCCAGGTGTCAGTGGCAAAATGCCAGCCACCAAGAAATAGCGCCTGAACGTGCACTTCTGCTTCTACACGGGGGCCACCTGCCCTGCTGCAGGCACCCCCTCCACCTGTAGCTGCTCTCTCATGAGGGGAAGCGGGGACGGGAGGGCACCCCCTGCTCCAGGGAGCATGCGTCAGATGCCACTGACACTTTCACAGAGAAGGACAAGTAGCTGGGCAAGGGGCCGAGGAGCAGGGACACAGAGCACTTGGCTGCGTCACAGGGCCATGGGGTCACAGGGCCATGGGGTCACAGGGCCACGAGGGAGGCAGGCATAAGCAGGCATGGCAGTCCCAGGCAACTCCTCACAGGCTACCAGGACCTTATATTCGTACGGAACTTATCATAAGACATGCTTTGTATGTTTCATGAGACCGTACCCTGGAATAGGTTCTGAAAGGCCCCAGCCTCAGGACGCAGTTATGCCATTCACTACCTCAGTAAGGCCCTCTCCTCATCTACACAAGGCCAGTACCTCCCATCCCACCTCCAGCTGTCCCGAAGGCATTTTACCCCGGTGAGTGCGAGGATACACTTAGCATGGCCTTGGCCATCACTCGGGGGAAGCCGCCGAGGGGTCCTGCAGTGGTTGGTGGCGTGAGATGGGCAACAGGCTGTCTGTCCAGCTGCACAGAAGGAATTTCAGGGGGCTTATGATTGGAGATGCAGAGAGCAATCTGGCATCTTGAAGGAGGAGAGATAAAGGCCTGGGAGCCAGAGAGTGTGGAGCTGGGATGGCATCTCCAAAATGAGGTGACCCCACTCCCTGTCCTGCTCACTCCGATTCTTCTAGGGAGCAGCGGTCCTGTGGGCAAGAGCGCACCTTTGAAGGGAGGGATTTGGTGTGTGAATCCTGCATTTCCTCATTACTAACTGTGCGGTATGGACGCGCTCCTCGCTCTGGTGTCCTCTGAGTGCCCTCTGTCGGACGGAGTAATACCACCCCCCTTTCTCTCCGGGTTGTTGTAAAGAGCGGTGTCCACAAGTTACTGAGCAACGAGAAAGAAACCAGTACATGGTGGCTTTGACTATGATGGTGCTCTGTTCTTGTAGATGCCAAACACAAATGATTTGTAACTCTCCCCACCCTGATAAATAAATAGAGGGAACCCAAGTCTAAAACATGAAAGACAAAGGGGGAAATAAAGCTACTGTGTCAGCGAATCAGGCTCAGTGTGAGATGGATATTTTGGGAAGACCCCCCCTGGGTCCTGTTACTAGGGTTTACAGGGTCTGCCATCAGACTTCTTCCCTTCCTAACACTGGCCCTGAGCATGAACAGATTTGGTGTGGCTTCTTCTCTGGTAGAAATAAAGGAGACAAAAAACATGGCAGAGGTACAATCCTTTTTCCCTACGCTCCTTAGTGTCATGGAATCTACGCATTAGGGGGGCCACTGTGGGCCTCAGAGGGGCTGTTGGGAGCCTCCTTGGAGGATGCTTGGCTTAAGGAGAAGAGAAGTTGGGGGGATCCTCACAACCTTCCAAGCATCACTGCTCAGCCAGGAACCAGGCAGGAAAGGAGAGCACAAGGGGTCACCGTGGCTGAAAGCTTCTTTGGGAAACAAACGGGTGCTGAGACTCAGCCGAATGGCCCCACCCTCTCACCTACGGGCCTTCTGAGTCCCAGAGCCTCCCGTAGCCTTCCCCTGTCCTCGGCCAGGCCAATGTGGCTTTAGTACACTTTGTGCCTGAAAATTAGCCCAGTGCTCATGGGAAGGTGGAGACAGATAAAAAACATTCCCGGTGTTTTTAGTGAGATGTCCAGGTGCAGGGCTGGCTACTATCTTAAAAATGGGATGTAATAAAAAAAAATCTAGCATGTGTGCTAGAAACAGCAACAGTCACATATACCAGGCATGTTTAATCACTCATGAGTAAGATTTTAGTTCACTCTCAGTTCTGAGGTTTGGTGCTTACTATTATTTCCCAGTTCGCATGTAAAGAAGCCGAGGATTCAGAGGTTAAATTCCCCAGATCACATGCCAGAATCTGAACCCCAAGGGCCTGACCCCACAGCTCACACTCTACATCTGCAAAGGGCTGTTTCCCTGGGGGCTACTCTTCTGACACAAGGACGGTGTGGAAACCAAGTGAAGGTTAGACCTAGCAATGTCCCTGCTGAAGGAAACAGTGGCCTTCTTGTTTTACAGTCTGTAATCGGCAAGCCACATGGGAAAAACATAAGATCCAGACTTTACAAATGAAAAGAGACAAAGGCCTTCCCAGCAAAACAAAACAAAACAAAACAAAACACAAAACAGAATCTGAAAGTTGGAAGACCCTGTTTTAAGAATAGGTGTCTACTAAGAGTCCGTTTACCACTGAGCAGAGGTTTGCTCTGGATCATTCTAGGTAGTAAGCTGTCAAGGGTAGCAGTTATTTTTGATTCCCCCCCTGTGTAGGACAGACACCTGCAGTGCAATTTTTTTAATCCTGGCTAGGAACATTCTCAGCCAGAGGTGTCAGCCAATATACGGCTTTGAAGTATTCAAGTCTATAGAACATTTTGATTTTGTTCTAGAGATCAGTTACATTTGGCGAAAGCCAGGAGAAAGGAGACAAGAAATGGGTTAGCCATCAGCTGCAGACCCTAGTGAATGTGGGCAGCTCCCCAGATATCCACCAAAGGCTTGGAAGTTCAGGGAATGTTTAAGATGAATTTGGAGGCCCTGTAGCAGTGACAGGTGCCTGTAACCAAGATGAGTGACAGGGGTCCTCACCATCCGAGGGCTTATTCTACAATACACTCACCTAGGGAGACCAGAATTGGGTAATTTCTAGTTCCTCTTGGGGTAATTCCTCTCCTAAGTGCATCATAAAAAGTTTCTTTATCTCCTTCCTAGTACAGATAAAGGTTTGAGTTAGTCTGACAACATTTCCCAGACCTGGTCTCAGCATCCACAATGTACAAATCCTGGACATTGGAAGCTGAAGTGGGACCGGGAACAAGAATATACCTCTCAAGGGCCTATGTGACCAACCCAAACCCAAACAGTGTGCCTCATTTCCCACTGGCATCTGGGATGACTTTCTAGTCAAGCTTATCAATAATCTCTCTATATAAAAGCCTAATATGTAAAGTGTCCCAATGGGAGTTCGATCAGAGACTGATAGCTCACTATGACGTGCACTGACCACCAGGGAAATGGCATGGAATGAAGGAAGGCCCCGGCTGGCAGCTGGAAAAGGGGGGCCCTGGCCAGCAGCTGGCAGCCAGGGAATGGAGGCCTCAGCTGGCAGCCAAAGGCTCCAATCGGCCCTGATTGCTGGCCAAGCCTAGGGACCCTACCCATGCATGAATTTCATGCACTGAGCCTCTAGAAATCTAAATAAAATGATTACACCATCATCCATGGCATGTTGTCCATCCTCCCACCGCTGGGTCTACAGAGCACCTTGACATACACTATTACAAAGTAAGTACCTCAGATTACCAGTTCCGACTGTTTTGAAGACTTGAGGCATGTAACAGGGAATGTTCACAAACCCCCTAAATCTTACTGCCTAACCTCGTCACCACGGCTGGAAAAACAGGAAGGAATAAGCAGTATCTTTGAAAAAGAAACTATGGCAGGGTGCAGAAGATTCATCCAAGAATGGCCATCACCCTGCCCACCTCCAGAAGGTCTTCCATGTCCCAGGGAGCTTCCTGAAACTTCTACTGACCTCGCCAGTCTGTTTTGGCTTTAGTATATTTTTTGTTTGAAAATTAGCCCACCTGATTACAGGAAAGAGGAGACAGATAAAGTTTCTAAGAAGTCACA